CATCACTCCATGGCTCTAAACTGCAACAGGAACAAGTAACATTGCATGAAAAATAATTAGTCACCTTTAATTTCTTGTCCAGATAAGCTGGAGATACCCAACCCTGTCGAGAGGGGCTAGATTTCGTGGGTTTAGTCCTGACCAGCCACTTCAGAGGATGAGCTGAATCAAGGACTTCCACATATTGGCCTTCCTTCAAAGTGATGGTCTCCCTGTCAGGTGCAGCTGGCACGTAGTCAGCTGTGACCATGTAGACGTCGAAGATCTGCATGCAAGAAACGACAGTTATTTTGTGCTCTGAAAAAGGAATACAGCAATATCAGCAGAACATCAATGCTTATCTGTGTTTGATGTTTTACTCTCCAGCCCTTGTACACTACTTGCTTTTTCCAAGTGGAAGACTAAGTCTCAAGGAGGCTCAGGCCGTGTTTTCAAAACTGAGGTGTTTTGGATTTACACCACCAAACAGTGAATTTTGCTCCCAAGGCAAAACAAACAGTGGTTTTGTAAATGTCAGAATAGGTCAACGTTGCCAAAGGTTTAACTTGGGGATTTTTTTTTTTTTTTAGGAAATGTTTTAAATGAACATCCAAAAGAGTTCTAATTTTTACAAAATTCTAATTTTTCTCAGGAAGAACTTGTCGACAAAATTCTTCTAACAAATTCTATCCAAGGCTACAGTAAATGAAACTCTGACTTTCTGAAGCTCAGCCATGAAAGCAAAAGGAGCCAAATAATGGGTACGTATTGACCACGTTGACTTGAACAATTTGTTCAAGATCACACAGTGAGCATCAGAATTTGATTTTCTGTGCTCTATATCACAGACCAAATATTTAAGTACTAAATAGACCTACTAAAGTGAAGTACATCCCTAAAGGGGACGGAGATCCTTAAACCATAGGAGATTGGTCATTTTAAGTAAAGGTTTCTCCTTGTGTCAAACTTGTCCATAAAGATATCATACCTCTCCTCTGGAATCCCCGTCTTCAGATTCAGAGGAGGACTCCTGAGCAATGGATGAAGGTCTGGACCGTCCATGGCGAGGAGATGCAGAGGGAGTTTTTGATTCATCATCACTTTCTGCACCTGGCACTCTAAGTGTAGCTAATAAGCAGAGCAACAGCCAAGTGTGAAATAAAGATCTTCAATTGGAACATGAACCAAATGTATAAACATTTTCAACTTCATAAGCAAAATATTCCCTAGGAAGAGTATTTGTAGTATTTAGTGTGATCTCCTATTGATATTTACAATTAAATAAATAATTGGGATATTTTAATACCTAAGGTTTCATGCCTACTGCATGCATTGCCACTGCACTGCAAGAATATTTGTAGGAGAGGCAATGCCTCTATTTTTGCTTCAATCTAAAAATTTTCTACAAGATAATCAGTGTAGGACACACAAATCAGGACTTTTCATTTAATTCAACAACTCATTGAACTACTGTACAGCTGTGCACACAGATTTCAGCCTCAACTTGATTTTAAAATCCCATCGTGAGCTAAAACTTGAAGATATGGGAAGTTTTCAAAACAAGATTGTTTTCAGACTCAGGAGTGATGATATCTGAGGAAGTTGAAACACCTAAGATGTTCAAAATACACTTCAATTTTTACAACTTGCTCTCCACTCTAAAGCTTACAGTTATTTCTGTTTATTTAAATAAGCACTGTATGCATAACATGGACTCTAACCATCTCAGTTTACTGTAATTACTTTTTTTCTCTTTCAAAAGTCTAGACTAAGATATGCAGTTTGGATGGACTCCTCCTAAAAATTCTTAGTCCTAAGCACTTACAAATGTTCATATGCTTTATATGGGATGACTGTTTCAAAACCTGCTTCATGAATCTCACTGACATTTAAAGTCCAAATTATACCTAAAAAAAGATTGCCTGTTTTTCTACACTAATAAAATTATGTTTGGCAGGTTGCTTACCCTGGCTTATTTTTGCAGACACCATTTCTGAGATACGAGAAGTGAGTTTCTGGAAGAACTCTTCTGAGCCAACATCAGCTAATGAAATAGGGCTTTTGGGTACACCTTCTCTAACAGCTTCAAGGTCTCCTGGAAAAGGAGGAGTTTTCTATTAAGCAGACAATGTCATTGGAAAGTCATCTTTTCTGAGTAATAAAAGCTTCTGTGAAAGGAAGTTCCAATTTTCTTCCCTTCCCCTACTTTTAAAACTGTACTTGCTCCCATTTCATCCAAATAAGTAACCCATGAACAGAGATTGGTCCTGAAAAGTTCCAACTTTTCAGACAGTTTCAAGGAAACAGGACAAAAGTAGGTGGTAATCATGAAACATATAGACAATCTCAGCTGTAGGTGTGAATGGCAGGAGGAGGAGTGAGAAAATTGCTTCTCTTACCTTCTCTCGTTTCAGAGGGATGAATAGCTCTGAAAAAGAAAGAGTAGAGTTAAAAGTTAAAATAAAGTGTGAAGTAAGGAGAGCTAAATGAGAAACACTCCCTCCTTCTCACACCTTGCACGTGAAGGCTGGGAATATCTAGACTAGAAGTCTGTGCTGGTAGCCCATACTCACCAGAGCTATTAAATTAAAATTAGGGCATCTGGCTCATAAGGGCACAGAAACACTTGGGTGTCTTAATTTTTGAGCCAAATCCCATCTAAGAATTCTCCTTATTCCTGACTTATTTCAAACTATTGCTTGAGAAGAGCTGGCTGCTCAGGGAGTGGGTTACAGAGCAGGGTAGCCTCCATCTCCCTGATGCTCCTGGGACTTTATTCCCAGCCAGTACCAAAATACAACTATTACAGCTGGAGACATTAAGTGAAGTGGGATCTGTAGTGTCAATCAATTTTCAGTGAACTAGTGCTCAGAAATTTCCAGTGGTTTCCTCAGGAAACCAAGAACTGGAGAACATGTAGATACTGTGGTCCTGCCAAGAGATCTGCTCCCATCACATCAGGATGCCCGTGTGTTGGGGAAGCAAGCTGACTACTGGTACTGCAGTGGTTTTGAGGTCCAAAGAGATCCTTGCTGCATATACCACTAAGTATGCCTAGCAGATCCTGGGCACATCCCTGGGAGATGCTGCAGTGGAATAGTTGAATTCAGACTGCAGCTTTCTTCAGTTTCTTTACACTTCAGAGAAGGACTGGCCAAGCCTTTTAGGCTCGACATAGTCTAGAAGCCAACGTGTGTTCAAGTGGATGCCTCTTTCAGACTGTGTCTGCCTGGTATCCAAGCCAGGGATAGAAAACTGAGGGGGTTATTCTTCAGGTGCATTTGTAAACAACAAGTTTATGAGCAGACCCTTTTCATTTATTGCTTTTTCTGTAAAGAATCAGTGTATTTCTATGTTGGCAAGTAACAGTCAGACCTTGACTCTGTGAAATTTTGGCATTCTGCTTAGGAGATGAAAAAGTAGCAAGAGTTTTATACTAGCTACCCAAATTTATTTATTTTTTTGTCCTTGTTCCTATCCTCCCTGATAATCCAGCACAAATGGCTGATACTGATACTAGAGTATTTATAGCGCTTTCTATTCTAGGACCTCAAACTATTTAAACTCTGGTGCTAAGACAGGAATATAAGATGTCCAAAGTGAACACGGTCTAAAAGTGACTCATGGGAACTTTTGCAGGGTGGTACCCTCACTGCTCCACTTCGGCATGGATGGCCAGCCACTTACCCCAGTGTGGTCATGATGGCTTCTGACACCATCACACGCTCCTGGGTCAGAACTTCAGCCTCTTTCACTGCAAGATTAGGGTTTATTATTAGAGACAGAAGGCAGAGAATGTTCTTTTTATGTATTTAATATAGGCACATTTTCTAGACATGGATTACTGGGAATACATACTGGGATACATACTCCCACACATATGATGCAAATGGTTTGCTCCTCTCCCTATTCATAGAATCATAGAATGGTTTGTGTTGGAAGGGACCTCAAAGATCATCTAGTTCCAACCCCCTTGCCATGGACAGGGAAATCCTCCACTACACCAGGTTGCCCAAAGCCTCATCCAACCTGGCCTTGAACATCCCCAGGGATGGGGCATCTACAACTTCTCTGGGCAACCTGTTCCACTGCCTCACCACCCTCAATGTAAAGAATTTCTTTCTTATATCTAACCTAAATCTGCCCTCTTTCAGTTTACATCCATAGATGGCGTAGATATATGATTATCCCATTTCTCTACACTGCTCAGGCTATGCTCCTATAGCTCTTGGTATAGCAAAACTATGGGATGCAAGGAAGGATAACAGAAAAATGGAGTCCTTCACAGCACTGCCCCTACTCCCATGCTATATTTGCTTGTCCCTCACCTTTTTGATAAAATCGTGCCAGGAGGGGCCCTGGAAAGCTCTGCAAAAGGGGATTTGAATAGCTCTAGTTGCCTTAAGGCAATTCTGCAACGCAAAATAACTTAGCAGGGTGAAGCACTCAAAATAATTTTTCAGATGGTGACTTTTTCTAATTACTTTACATTGCCTTTCTTCCTTCCTTTTTCCTTTGTGCTTAATTTGGTTGTTTCTCAGACTTGTCTTCTGTTTATACAGAGAAGATACTGCTGTTAATTCAACATAGGGTCGGAAATTTAAAACATTATAGAGGTAAAGAGTATAATCATTTGCAAGGCAATTGAAGTCATGGCTAATCGTGGGAAAATGCAACTTTCAGTTATGATTTAATTAATTTCCTTATCAGTATTGCTTGTTTTTCTCTTAGGCACTGTATAAAAGGTAACATAGAGAATGAGTTTGTATTGTCACAAAGATTTACCATCTGCAACTTCCAGGGTGGCGGTGCAGATGGACTGGCCAGCCTTGTTGGTGGCAATGCAGGTATAAGCTCCACTGTGCTTCTTTTTAACATCCAAGAGGATTAGACTGTGATGCATATTTGAACTGGCAAGTTTATACCCAGGAGTGTCTGGTTTGATCCACAGGATATCTTCCCGAGAGTGTTCTTTCAGCCAAGTAATAGTTGGTGGTGGATGTCCTAAAGGAAAACCAATGCAATGAGCTTTAATTTTCCTAATGGTGTTCCTTCCCTAGAATTATGGGCCATGCTGTGAATAAATGCTATTTTAATCTGTTTCCTGATACTTTTGCAACAATAACAGGCATAATATACAATAAAGGAACACAAACCTTTCCACAGCACACTCGTAAGGACAGCAAACCTTTTTGTAAAACCAAAACTCTTAAGCAACACGTCTTCATAAGACTGACAAGTGTTGTTATTATCCCTGTTTTTACACACAGGAAAATGGAGGTGGAGATGAGTTAGATGTTTTTCAGTAAAGCACATAAAATCTCTTACATAGCTGGGAGTAGAGTCCCAGACTTCAGATACAGAAGATGAGAAGATGACTTGGGCCAGAGAGAGTCTAGACTGTGTCCTGAAATTATGCAATTTGTTATGCAGAGGCAAGGTGATTTATCCACTTACCTTCAACTTTCACAGATAACGTGATGCTTGCGCCTTTTTTCACCTTTTTATTAGTGAATCTTTCTAGGAACCTTGGTGGTATCAGCTGCTCATGGGCATCTGAAAATGACATGATTGATGAAACATGGTGACACATTCTGTGGGAGTTCAGACTACTGAAAAATTCCTGGGGGTTCTGTCACCACCTGCTACGGCTTCTCTCACCTGCTTCTGATGGCTCTTCTTTCTCATAAGGATCTGTAACACAAGGAGAAAAAAAAAAAAAAAAGACAAATATAAATACCTTTCTGTCCATAAGTTGAAGGAAAAAAAAAAATTACTTCAAGAGATTACTCCTTGCAGGTGATAGTACACAGAAATGTTAGTATGATTTATAAGAGGCCCTCAGTTTTAATAAAACAGACCATTAAATTTTATAAGGTTGGGCAGAAATAAAATGTATGTTTATGAACCAACAGTCAGACCCTAGAGAAGTGACATGCCTCACCTTTGGGACACACAGTGCATTTACAGGTGAACCAAGATTAAAGCATGTCATTGTTTATCTTCCCCACCTCACTTGACTCACCTTGGTAGGCTTTCTGAAGAAAAATAACTATATAAAACGGGAAAAGCCACTGTGGAGAGAAAAGCAGGTGCCAAAAATAGTCCAATACCTACCTTTGACTACCAGCCTGGCCGATGAATATGCAGAACCAGCAGAGTTGATGACAAATATAGAGTACTGGCCAGCGTCCGCCTTAGTGACGTCACGAATTTCCAGCGAGTGGAATTCCTGTTTATCAGTCTTCAGGATGCGATCCGAAACCTTTAACGGCTGTCCATTTTTGAACCAATAGAGGCGAGGCTGTGGGTACCCTGTGAGGGGCAGTTGCAGACAAGGAGAACAGAATACATTGGCAATATGGATTTGGAAGCATCTCCAAACAGGCAGATCGTTCTGAGCAGGAGTCAAGGAATCCTTAGCTCTGCCCAGGGCTGCTGTTTCAAGGATTTACCCAATTAGGAATGGCTACAAATTCATGAAATTCTATTTATCTCTTAAAGTTCTTTCCTGTCTCTTCAGTTTCTGGCACTGCCCACATTGGCTGCGTGTGCAAACGCCTTCCAGCTTGGAAAGGTAACGCTTAGGTCTGATTTGCAACATGCACAAAGAGAAAAGTGGAAATCAAAACAGTTCTCAGCATTTTTACAGCAATAAGAGAAAACAGGAGAATCTCTACCTCTCCCTACCACAGACAATCAACACCAGGAGGATGTTTTTGAAGTTTTTAGGTTGCAGCAGCAAGCCCCTCCCAGATTAAGGGAAGTCCAGGACCGTTTCATTTATCAATGAGAATAAAGAACATCCCCACTATCTTTTTTTTTTATTATTCCTTATTGCTCCTCCATAACTAATGTGCTCAGAGAATTACAGGACTCAGTTTCCAGAAGCATTTGCCTGTAACTATGCCTGGAGACATGGACACAGAATGAGACACTTAGTCTGCCTGAGTCTGCTGCAGAAGTCAATGTTGGTCAGCATGAACACTTTCTTCCTGCTGGTTTGCGCAAACGTGCTGCAAGATGCGAGGGCTGGGGTCACAGCTGCAGAAGAGCACATTGGAAAACCTCGTCCAGCATTTCAACCTGACAACAAACCTGGAACAACTGACAGTTCTGTGGACTCCTCTCACCTTTCACCTTCAGGTGAAATTTAGCCAGTGATGCTCCAGGTGCCACATGAATATCATGAAGCTCATCAAAGATCTGGGGCAATTGCTCCTCCTCAGTGGTAGATTCCTCCTGTTCTCGGCTAAGAAGCAATCAGAATTAGAAAGAAGAAAGTCAGCAAGGCAGAAAGGAGTTAGGAATCAGAATCGCCTGTTTTAGGTTAATTCCATCTGTGGGTTTTGTCATCATGGCAACAGAATCAGCATACTAAAAAGAGTGGAGTGATATCATGAAGGCAGCCAGAGCAAGATTACAGATGATGAATGTCCAACTGCTGCAGTTATTGCATCTCAGCTGGTCTGGCTGTTCCTTCATGACATGAAACTGGCCCTGCTAGACACAGCAAACCCAGGCTTGACATAAATATACACATTGATCTTACCAAGTTTCAAGTTACAAGAGCTAGAGAACCATATTTTACCTTGAAATATATTCTTTGGCGCTGTAGTAAGAAGACGTCTCTGTTGCATCTGCTGCTGTCTCATAGTCAGTGCTGGTCACTGTTAAATGCAAAAAGAAGTGTTTTCTATAATCTGAGCTTTGAAACTATTTTTCTTACTGTAAGTATAGTTTCCCCACTAATCTGAGTGACAGGCAGGTTGATTTCACACTGCTGTTGCAGCAAGATCTCACGCGTCCCCGGGTTATGGAAAACACCTCTGTTTCTCTGAAAAGCTTTGCCCTGAGCCTTGCTTTGGAGTTAGCAAAACCCAACTGAACCCAAGAGGTTGGCAAGTGAAACATTTTGTGGGCAATGCATATGTTTTTCTTAACGTAAATGGTGTTTTTCTTGGGAAAAAAAAAAACCAAAAGTATCTACCTCTCAGCAGGACCCTTCCCCTTGTTTTTTTCTACAGTGATTTGGAGACTTACAGTCCACTCGAAGCTCAGCCTTGGTTGAAGCCACTCCCATGTTGTTTTCAGCAAGGCAACGGTAAACACCCATGTCAGTGGGGACCACAGCTGTGATGATCAGCTGATGGCACCCTTCCTGGTCCTCGTTGATCATGTAATGATCGTTTTCCTCAATCGCCTTCCCATCCTTGAACCAGCGAACCGTGGGGAGCGGTTTGCCAACGACCATGCAGTCAAAACTGACTGGATATCCGTCTTGTACCTCTTGGTTTTGGAGCTCAGTCATGAACATGGGAGCTGAAGTCAGGGTAGTTGGGAGAGAAGAAAGGAAAAACTTGGTTGTGTTAAAAGATGTATTTTAAGAGCGCTGCTGCCCAGTGCCTGAAGACTTCTGGTTTCTAGGTTTTTTAATTGCAGAGTGATGTCTTTTCTCTATGAAAACAGCCAAGAACCACCTCCCTGAGAAACACTACGAAGATGTTCTGTAACACCATAAGCATTATGATACCACAGCTGCAAACTATACATTGCCTCTGTTCCTCTCCTTGCCGAAATGTCTTGTCTCCCTCAGGACTGTTCTGAAAATGGTTTCATTTATTTAAGTATAATAATCATAGCATTTATGGCCATATTATTGTAGCAGGGGACACTTCTATTGTGAAAAGCAGCTTTGTAGATCAGTCGACACTTTGCAACCCCCTCCTTCATCACTAACCTCCCTCCTCTGCCTCAAAATGAAAAAGAATTAAAAAAATAATCAGTTTTTCCAAAAGTGCAAAGTTTCCAGAAAAATATCAGTACCAAATGAAAACCAAAGAATTTTTGGAAGTTATTTGTGAGTGAAAAGATAACATTCTGATTTCCAAAGAATAAACGGATTTGCTTCACCTACCTGTATCAGAAGTCAGCAAAGGCGGTGGAGGTCTCACTGCTGGTGGTGCAAACTTCCCATGGGTGGGTGGTGCTGCTTTCCCAATACGCAGTTCAATTTTTTTAGGGCCTTGTTCCAAAATGTCAATCTCCACAGGAATTCCCAGAGCACCAAACATCTCTCTGAATCGAGTGGCAGCAGATTTTGCCTCAGACAAGACTTCAAACTTGATGTAGATGTACTGGTCATCCTCACGATACGTCTGATGGTCGACTACCTCTATGTCTCCTTCATCCGCACTGACAAAGAGCTCTTCCTCCACGTCAGAGATCTCTGTTGAGATCTTGGCCCTGAAGAGTCTATGAAGTCTCCTTCCTGCTTTACGGAAAGCATCATCCAGCTCACTGCCAGATGAGCTCTCTGTCTCACTGTCAGTGCTTTGTTTAACCTGCTTCTCCTTCTGAAGAACTTGAGGTTCCTGAGTGCCAATAACCACCTTAGCACTGTGTGCAACCCTACCAAATTTATTGGATGCCTCACAGGTGTATTTACCCGCATCTTTCCTGTCCAGGCCAGTGATAATCAAAGAGCAGGTCCCATCACTGTAATTGTCTATGTGATAGTAACGACCATCTGAAAGCTCTTCCCCGTCTTTCAGCCAACGGACCTTCATGTCAGTTTTGCTGTGGGCCACACACTCAAGGTGGAGAGTGCTTCCAGGCTCACCAGAGAAATCTTTGAAGGTCTCAGTAAACACTGGACACTCCTGTTGCTTGATCTCTTTCCTGACTTTGTAGCCTTTGAAAGCAGCCTGGATCTTCACAGCGGCCTTGTTCATGGAAGGATCATCTAAATCTGGCATTTCTGGTTCAGCTGGCTTAGCAGCTGGGGCAGCCACAACAGTCTCCACGCTGGATTTCTCCCACTGTTTCCATAATTTGCCTGTGGAGATGGACTGAACCTTGCTACTAACACTGACACTTGTCTTCCCAGCTTTCTTGAGGTAGTTCACCAGTGAAGGAGTTCCAGCTCTAGACTCATCATCTGAGCTTGTGAAAGAGAAATCTGCTTCTCCTGTCCTAGCTAGCTCATCACATGTGGAGTATTCCTCTGAGTAATAGTGAGACATCTCTGCTTCCTCCTTCTTCAACTTCTGAAGCTTCTCATCTTCTTCAGGCAACTCACTGATAGAATCCAAGGTGGGCTCCCGGCTCATCCGGCGTTTCTTGGCCAGGGCCTCCCACAGGAGGTGAAGGTCTCCCTCCTGAGCAGCCTCAGGGGGCAAGCTGGGCTGGACACGGCCATCCACCAGCTCTTCTGGTTGGCTTACAGGGGGTGCTTCCCTGGAGATCTCTTTTAGCATTGTCACTGTAGGAACTGAGGAGAATTAAGTTGATAAGATGTTAAAGATCTGTGAGTAAGCTACGAGAAAGCACATCGAAATGTTATTCTAAAGCCTGGGCAGAAGAGTATCAGTGGCATTTAACTAAGCGTTCTGTTGCGAACAAAATTTGAAATTAACATAACTGGACATGGTCTTGGGCAACTTGTTCTAGATGACCCTGCTTTGAGCAGAGGGATGGACTACATTATCTCTGGAAGTCCTTTCCACCCTCAACTGTCCTGTGATTCTATGCATGTGCATATATAAAACACAGCCAAATAACATTTTTTTTTCTTCCTTACATATCTGGACCCAATAAATAAATTTCTGCCTTTTCTGAATATTGCAGTCCATGAATATCTGATTAAGACTGTCAGTGGAGCCTGGAAAGCTATTCCAGGCTCATCCTATTTTACAGCTAGGCAAGGCTTCACTGACTGGCTTGAATAGATCTCCACTGGTTGTAGCGGGAGCTGAGACTCTCACCTCATATAGAGGTATCTGCCTGTAGATACTTCGACTTAGATGTGTCTAAGGTTGTGACTCACCCTCTGGGACACACTGACTTGTCTCTGCCTAGTGCCCAGTACATTTGAGATGCTCCAGGCTGCCTGGGACATCCAACGCAGGACCTAAGAGTGCTCTGGGTTCCTCTGGAGAAGAAGATGAAGGCCAGGGGTGATATCCTGAAGTGCCTCAATGGCACTAGATGCCTGTGTGTGGGCCACTGAATCCCACCATAGGGGCACAATTTAGCTTCCTAAGCACTGTGACCCAAAGCCATTTAGGATATCTAGGACAGGGGGCTGGCAGACACCATGCAGAACATAGGAAAAAGCCCTCAGTTTCTGAAGTGGCAGCTGGAGGCCAGGCAGAATACTCTAAAGCATCTCAAAAGGTACCAGAAACCAATATAGAGACAACTGCATCACACCTTAAATATCTGACTCAGAAAAATCTTGCCTGAGCAGCTCAAAGCTGTCAGGGATTCAGAAACCTACTGGACAATACCGAAAAAGGAAGATAACAATTCTTTGTGGATTGTTATCACAGCTTGCAAAAGAAAATGTATTCCAGTTCAAGCTGTGGAGATGGCCCTGGATGTCCGTAAACAGAACAGATTTAACATCACAGGAATGCACTCTCTATACCTTCAAGACACAAGGTGGCAACAGATTTGACTTCTGGAGAAACCATGCAGGTGTATGTGTCCTGATCTTCAGGTTTAAATGCATGAATAATGAGTATCTGCTTTTTTCCATGGGAGAGGATCTCGTATCTCCCTCCAGCTTGTATTTGTTCTTTTCCTTTGAACCAAGTCACTTTCTCTTCGGTGTCACTTGATAATTTGCACTCCAAGCGAGCCACCTCCCCTTCTGAGACTGATCCTCCCACCAAAGGATGGGTGACTGTGACTGAAGGCTCTGTAATTGGAAAAAAAAAGTGAGTTAACACAAAGAATACATCATAATTTGGCTTTAAGGCACTCGAGATCACTCTACAAAATATCCAAGCCTCTCATCCTTCATTTGTAGATTCTTTAGCTGTTGTAGACAACCAAAGAAAACAACAACAAAAAAGACTGTCAGCATCCACAAAGATGGTATCAAAATAACTTTACAAGCTCTCCCAGCAGTTAAATCATCTCCATTTAAATATATGCATGCAAAAGTAGTTGCATTTTTTGCATTTCTGTGTTTATTTGCTGATCTTCATTTACCCATCACCAGTATTCAAGCAGTCCTACAGATTCTAGGAGATCTTAATATTTAGAAGTGAAGCAGTTCTGAAGTGAGACAAGAAAGAAACAATAAAAAGAATGAAAAAGAAAAGAGATTATTAAGGGCAGCCTTCATGTCAATCTTGAAAGTAAACATATATCTATATGTATATTTACACTAACTTAGGAAGAGTAAAAATTCTCAAAAAGAATTTAAAAAGGAAAATTTTCTGTATCTTCTTTACTTTGGAAGGAGGCCTGCCAATGGCATGCTCTTTGAACGGCAGCGATGCTCGAAATGAAGTCAAGACAAATACATCAAAAATGGAGATGTCGACTGGGATGTAAAGCACCCAGCTGAGTTCCCAAAAGCAGCATGCTTCTGAGCGTGATCTGCTCCTCTGCACATTCCACTGGGGTGAGGAGACCACTGCCCAAAATGCCTTGGGTTGGTTGTGGACAAAGTCAGCATGTGCAGAATTACCAGGGTCCGGCACTGGCAGTTGTTATGTTGAAAAAATATCATTGAGTGTCTCAGCCTTAAGCAAAAGAGGATTTTTTATTATTATTCTCACTTCGAGGAATTTGTTGGGCACTTGGCTATCACAGAAAGAGTCTCAAGAAAAGAGAGATTGAGGGAGTGACTCTCCATCCAACTGTAGCTTTCAAAGTTTCACCAACAGAGAGCAAAGGAACTGTGTCCTCCAACATTGCTTTGTGGGGGTTATTGAAAAAGATACACAAATAATATTATGAAGGAGAAAGATGGGTGAAGAAGACAACACTACCCACCCACTGCATTGGTACCAGAGTCTTGATTACCACGAATGCATTCCATCATGCCCCTTTTGACTCATTCCATCATAACTCCACCAGAAAAGAAACTCAAGGTGACCGGACAACGCATGGATGCAGTGCAGGCTGCAAGACAGCTTGATGCAGTTTTGAGAAAATAAGTGTTGAGTACTAACAACGCAACAAGTTTTGGTCACAGCAGCCCAGAACAATTTTTCCAAGCTCTTTCTCCTCTGTTGTATCGGCAGCAAAGCATTGGCAGACGTTGCAGAGTGAACTCTTCCAGGAGATGCCTGGAACGGATGAAGCAGGCATGCCATGCGAAACACAAGGTCTACAGCAGCTTGCAGTCCTCCATGGGGGCATCTCTCCATTCTCACCTAGCCGCACCATCTGAGGGAAGTGCACCGGCTCGCTGGCCCCAACTTTGTTTATAGCTGAGACGCGGAATCTGTAGGGTTCCCCTGGGGTGAGATTGTCCACTATAAACTCCGTATTTTGAATAACACCTTTGCTGCATGACTGCCAGCCAATACCTGGGATTTTCCTCTCCACGTTGTAGCCTAGGATGTCACAACCACCGTCACTCAACGGCTTGTACCAAGACAGAGTTACAGAGTGGCTGTTCTTACTTAAAACTTCTGGTTCTTCAGGTGGATCGGGGTGGGCTGAAGGCACAACAGAGGTCCCGTGATGCACAACATGAGAAATAATGCTTTATATTAAAACAACCAAGAGTCTTCTACAAGCAATGAGAAGGAAATGCAACAGATTCAGTATTTGTCTTATTGTAAAGTCGAGTGGGTACATGACCATGACTGTGAGACATACCTGTGCACCATTGAGTGTTCCTTTGTCTGCCCTGACCTACACATTTTCCAACTGTCATCTCACATACTTCATGTCACATATTGGGATTTTTTCCTGCTGCTTTGTCCCACCCAGCTCAAAAGAAAGATGACCCTACACTGTCCATATTGTCAAAGAACTTAGCTGAAAACTTCAAGTACATTTGGGCCTTGATTGTATTTATTTCAGGTCTGGTCTTAATGGAAATCAAGTTATTGTTGGATTACAGAGTAACTCTAGTAATTTAATCGTGAGTCGCTCAGTTTCTGTGTAATTGCTGTATTTGTCCCAGTATCAGGCGATAACAAAAAAATACGTAACGAGAACGGTCTGGTGTCCTACTAGATTGGCTCCTGATGAACATACTCAGTACATTGGAAAACGTTCCTCTCTTTCTTTACACTCTGGTTTAGAAGACAGAAATAATTCTTTTAGTCTTTAAGTTCAAGGCGTTTAGCAGGTAAATGACCTGCCACAATGTACCAATTCAACAAATTAAAGGCGATTAAGGTCAACAGCCAGTTCTTTAACTCTGGACACATGAAGATTTTAATATGCAACTCATTAATCCTGTCAACAGGAGCAGTTAATGAGGATAGTATTTTGCAGTTCCTAAAATGTGGGTGCCCAAAATAAGAGAATGTTGTTCTAAATTTTTTTTTAAAACAACAACCAATTTTTTATTTTTTTTTTTTTTTGTGGAAGTGACTGGAATATATCAGAGATCTCTCAAGTCTCAGAAATCGTTAGACAGACAGACTACTCATAATAATTTCAAGAATGGATGATCAGTCAGTGGTTCTTGAACATTTCAGCTACAGAGTACAGCTAAAACACATTGCAATTATCTCATAACCATCACTGGGGTTGCGCTGGTGTGACCACTGCTGGGTGACCCACCTATCCACTGTGGGAAGGAGCCAGACCTTGGGTGCTGGAATGGACAGTGATGAATCTGTGGTCTAACCTGTCCCACAAGGAAATTAGGGAACTATCATCTTTTCCACTTGTGAAGTACTCCAAGAGCTATTAACTCTTGTATCTCTGAAGTATAATGTGTGTGTTTCATGAGTCTCAGCCACATGGAGATATTAATATGCAACTCATTAATCTGGAAACGTGGTTGTCCTGCACTTGAGTAGATTAACAGTTTTCGAAGGGTTCTCTGCTGCCCTGGATAATTTTTCCATGTGCACTCTCGTTCAGCTCCCTTTCATGTCCACGTTTGCTGAAGGTGATGTTGAACTCTGAGTAAATTGATTTCCGTTAGACTCTGTGCTACATTTTACAATAGACTGCAGCTAAAGAAAGCTGGTGAACATCTCTACCATCTCTAGCCTGATATAATTTTCCTCTGCTGAGGTGGACTATTTCTGGTCAAAGAACAAAGCATCTTCTCAAACTAAGAACACTAGCTGGGGACATGCAAGGCAAAGAGAAAAGGATCAGTATAAAGATCAGAAAATTCGATGTTGTAGCTCAATACCAAATTCTGAGATTTCAAGTGCCACCGGGCTAGAAAGACAGACACTTACCTATCACTGATAACTTGGCTGAAGCAATTGCTTCCCTGGAAGCAAAGGTCACCTCTCCAGAATGATGTGGTTGGGCTTTTTTCAGAATAAGTTTGTATTTGTTTCCATCTGCTTGTATCTCCCAGTCCTCATCCGAATGGATCTCTATGTCATTACTATACCAGGCAACTTCAGTAATTGGCACAGCTTCACTTAGAACGCAGCTAAATGTAGCTTTCTCCCCCAGAGGGACTTCCACATCTGTGAGAGGCTGCAAGATCTGTAGGCGCCACCCTGTAGATAAAAATAGGTAATCAAGCCCTCAGTTACAGAAACAAATACAAGCAAGAGATTTTGTTAATATTTATGCTGAAGCTCTGGACAATCAGGCTTTGGGGAACAAGGAGACCATTAAAAGGGAGGTTATGTATATCTCTAGAACAGGAGGTATCACTGAGGACTGAAACTTTCCAAAACTTTTAGGAGCAAAAACCAACCTGACAATGTCTTTCTTTCCCAAGTAGCAGAAAACCACCATGGAGATAACATGCTATGACAGAGGATGGCTGTTCCTGTACTTTGAAAGGGGTTCTGATCCGCACAGGGATCTCCAGCAATAGCAGAAAATACAAGGATGCAGAAATATTGTTGCTGACATAACTCTCATCTCTAAAGACCTGAAGTATCTATAAACACAACCCAACTCATCAGAATAATCATAGAATCGTAGAATCATAGAATGGTTTGAGTTGGAAGGGACCTCAAAGTTTCATCTAGTTCCACCCCCCCTGCCATGGGCAGGGACACCCTCCACTACACCATGTTGCCCAAAGCCTCCTCCAACCTGGCCTTGAACACAATAATGACAACTGTACGAGTCATTTGCTGCTAACTCATTGCCAACTGATGCTGCTTATGTCCGTGTCGTGACATACGGAACAAGGAAAAAAAGAAATTGTAAAACATCATCCATTTATGGTGTGAGAAGGAGATTTAGGTGAGATGCACCTCTTCCACTCTGCTACTCATCATGTTTTCCTGGTTCATCTGCCCTTTCCAACCAGAAATTTGAGACTCCCCATGCACAAGTGTTTCAGTTACCTTTCACCGTCAGGAAGGCTGAGGTCACTGCGTCGCTGCACATAAAAGTCACCCTGCAGCTGTCCTGGGGAGTTAGGTTCTTCAGCAGCAGCAGATGCCTGCGTCCATTTTCAAAGTAAACCATCTCTGTGTTTTCTGTAGTTTTGGCAGGTTCATCGTCAATCAGCCAGTTGTAATTGTAGCACTCGGGCTTGGAAAGATAGCATTCAAACAGAGCTTCTCCTCCTTCCACAGCTTCCACATTCTCCAAGCCCTGGACAATGCTGTTCTTGGCTACCAAAGAAGGACAACAAACAGTATGAATTGTTTGGCCACGCATATCTGAATACTAACAAGCCTTGGAGCACTGGATGATTCCCACTGCTGGAAAGCTGATGGAAAGGATGAGGACATGATAGACTGTGCTTGTAGGTTTAGTTGTTGATTTCAACCACGCTCTAACGCAACACTACACTTAAAAACACTTTTAGTAGTGAGATAGCTTAAAAATAATGATAAACCTCTAGGATTATGTAGACTTCCTCCAGAAACCTGACTTCTGTTTTTACAAATAAAGAAAAAAATATTGGTGTTTATATGAGTCAGGCCAATAGTCGATAGGAAGGGATAGCTCAGGAAGATAATCAAATTCCTTCTGTCCCACAGCTGGAAGCATTTCCCACCGATCTCCCAGGCAGCACAATCATCATCATAATTGGGAAGATGTGAATCCACTGACAGCTCAGGATAAAATCTTACTACCTGTCACGCAAAGCAAATATGAGAGAACATCACAGCTGGCAAAGCTATAGCGACTGCCATCTGAGTTCACAAGTTTGCCTCTAGGAAACACACAAAAAGTTGAGAAGAACAGTCTTTTTGAAACATCACAAAAGCTCTGTGATAATGAATTAGCTTTATTTTCTCATGCATGTGGGGTGAATCGTGTGGTCAGAAACGTGCACATGTCTACACACTCCATTCGCCCGCAGTTGGGCATCAGTTGGCAGTTGTCCACATCAGCCTGATGCAAAATTAAACGTGAGCTGGTGCATGCAAATATAACTCGTGTTAGACAGCCACATGGACAAACTACGTGCACGACAGTGGGAGCACACAGTTGAGTAAATTCAGTTGACACAAATACCATGCGATGGTCACTACGATCTAGAATATAAACCAATGCCCTGAGACGTTCCTGTTCAGATCTCTGTAATCACTATCTGGAACTGTTCTAAGCGAAACCAAAAAAGCTGAACAGTTTATTTAATAACAACAGCAACAACAAAAAAGCATGACTTACTAAAAAAATTCTGTATTATAATTTATTTTCTAATTGTATTGGATTATAATTCTAATGGTATTTTATAATATTCACACTTATGAAGAGCAATGAAGGATTGTAAATCCTTGGAGAGCGTATAATTCTGTTAGAACAAATCTGAGCTGTTTATTTGTGCACTTTTGGAGAGCTGGTTTCCCTAACCATGTAAAGCAGCCCATTGCAAATTCTACCTCCTCATGGGTGCTTTTAGATTATGTTCATTAGCATCTTTTTAAATCCCTAAAATAGAAAGCTCTTCTCAATGTAGAAAATATTACATTAAATAATGCCCTGCTCTTCTGTACTCACAAGTCTGGTTAAGCAAGAAGGAATAATTGCCCAACAAAACACAAATATTCAGAAATCAAATCAGAACCTTTGCTCTTGCTGATCACACTAATTCACCCAGTGACTGAAAATAATAATTCCTCACACAGAAAAAAGAAACATCAATATAAAATCCTGAACCTACACTTGATATTTTTATTTACTGTTTCTCAGGGCCCTCACAAATGCTGACACCAAATGAGAAGGCAATTCCTGAGTGATCCATATTTGTAGTAAATAAAATATCAAGCTACCTTAGCTTAGCTGGAAACAAAATTAAATTCCACACTCTCCATCAGGTACTGATTTTAAGGCACGCTGTGTGTAGAAAGCAGTCTGTAACAGCAAAAAGTGACTATTTTTAGTAACTTTTTTTACTACTCTTACTATTCCTTTGGACCAACATCACATCTGTGATTTTACAATAATTCAGCAGGAATTGCACCGATGCTCCAGTTCATTGTGGAAGAGGTATGATGTGTAAGTGGTGTCATAAGCGAGCGTTAATTAGAACTAAGCTCCAGTGAAATGCTGCAGTTCCATATTCAATTCCCATTAACTCCCAACTACTTTTAGCATCGTTATCAGTACTGGAGTGAACACCAAAGAGCGGGTATCTGACGTGTCACTTATTGTGAGATGCTGCCATGATTTTTCCACCTCTTTTATTCGGAACCCATGATAGTCTTCCTCTTTGGCTGGAAGACCTCACCTTGAACATCAAGTGCAGCCATCACTTTAGTGCCTTCAGCTTCACAAGAATAGATGCCAGTGTCTTCTGGTACCGTAGGTTTAATTTTTAGCATGCTTACATTCCAGTCCTGATCGATAATCACTCGCTGCCCATCTGCATGTATTTCCTGATCATTTTTCTTCCATATGGCGTGTACTGGCCTAGAATATTGGCATATGAACTCTGCTGTGCCATCTTCATCAACAGTTATATCCTGCATGGGACTGACCACTTCAATGGTTGGATCTGTTAACCAACACGTCAGGAAGGACATGCATTAGTGGATCCTCATGGAAATGGCAACTTAGAGATCTTTGACAAGCACAGAGCCTGTGGGGAGCAAGCAGAGTGACAGTGCAAGCAGGGAGATGACTGGGCACACTGGGGATTAGCAGTTTAGTCTGTGCTTGAGTCAGCATCAAGCAGGATTGAAGCAAAACTGGTACATTAGGACACAACTATCACACAACTGCAATATACATGTGAAAAAGAAAAATCTCAATAAAATCTGGAAGACTGGAAGCGTGTCTGCAGCATCCTTCTCAGCAGAACTAGGTCAACTTCCCCAAAAAATTGATAAGGCTACAATGGGACATAAAAAGATGACAGAGAAAGCTGATATATGTCCTTATCTTTCAAATAGTCATTCTGGTCACAATCCAGCTAGAATAAACTACACCAAACCACTGTCTGGAATGCTCCTCTTGAAACTGGTGCATCAGGTTGAGGATTTGGGATGCTGCTAGCAGACCTTGGGAAGCAAAGACAGTTTTGCAAATGTCTTTTGGAAACTTGTTGCTCTCTAAGGCTTGCTCTACCACTCCGTGTGTCTGCATGTGTGTTTATGGAGAGGAAGCTTCAAAGGCAGATCATGGAGAAGTTTTGGTTACACCAGGTCTGAAGAAGCAGAAAAGTATCTGTGCAGGGAGTACAATGACGTCTCCTTTCATAAGATGCAGACATGTGCTCCTTACAGCAAATGTCACCTGTGGTCTTGGAGAAGAAAGGTGTCCTGGTTCCACTGCCCCATTGCTCTTTGCCACAGCTAGGCTAAGACCTTGGTGGCCCTATTCACCCGTGCAGAATGGCAGAAAGCTCCTTGGGACTTAGGAGCCAACGTGTGCACTGAGGCCTGAAATTCTCACCCTGTCCAAAAGGGTCAGAAGAAGGTGGCAGCTCCTTCAAACTTCTTCATTTTCCCCCCCCCCACTCGTACATGAAGATGCCATCATGCTGGGCCACAGAACGAATGCAGTTGTAGGGCAATAATATTGTGAAGGCCCAGCAAGAAAACTCTCATGAGATCTCACTTAAAGAATATATCCAGTTAGAAGCATGCCTTACACCAGGAGAATGGGGCACGTGTTACAAAGAGAAAGACAATTTGTTCCTTGATGAAGAACAAGCCATGGATAGCTGGACTGAAATACACCTAGTTCGAAGATAGATCTGTTTTTACAAGGTCATGTAGTGATAGGACGCGGGGCAATGGCTTTAAACTGAAAGAGGGCAGATTTAGATTAGATATAAGGAAGAAATTTTTCCCTCTTAGGGCGGTGAGGCACTGGCACAGGTTGCCCAGAGAAGCTGTGGCTGCCCCATCCCTGGAAGTGTTCAAGGCCAGGTTGGATGAGGCTTTGAGCAACCTGGTGTAGTGGAGGGTGTCCCTGCCCATGGCAGGGGGGTTGGAACTGGATGATCTTTAAGGTTCCTTCCAACCCAAATTGTTCTATGATTCTATTTTTAAATTTCTGGACAAAATAAAGTGCATGAAATTGGCTGTTAATACAAGGACAGTCAGAATTTTACTACTGTTTTACTTTCCTGTTGAATCAAGTGTTACTGAGCACAGTGTAACTGGGGTGTTTTTTAAATACCTTTCTATCTTAATCCAATTATAGTCACATACTACTGCGATTCAGGTTCACGTTAAAGAAATCTTGCCTTAATAGAAGCAGAAAATCTCCAGATACATATGTGTACTAGCATGGGCTGTGGGGTTGGGCTAGATGTCCCTTCCAACATCAATGATGTTGTGATTCTGTGAAATGAAAACTTCTCAGCAGCCCTTTATTTGACTGGGTAGAATAACTAACGATGTATTTAATTTTAGTTTATGTTTTAGGTCCACTGGATTTCTTTGCCTAGATATCTCAGAACCAGGTTCTGTCTCTGAAAATGTGAAACTTAAAATTGATACAAACGGACACGGGATTTGTGGGGTTTGCACACTACATTGTTCCTGCGCCGTTCTGCTATTAGGAAGAAGTGATTTGGCATTTTCTCTTTGCAGAGTTAAATTTTCTGACTGTACAAAGGACACATGGTATACAGAAGGAGACATCAACCACTGACTGCAATTCCATATTGTGGATGATTCCTGTTACAGTAGGCAGTTATAGCATGGGGGTAGATTTTAATAAAGAGCTCTTAACCTTTTATACTTCCATATATACAAATCTCTTTTCCAAGCATGGAATAAGTGTTACTTTTGTCTGAAAAATAACAGCTTTTCCCAATGGCTACAAAAGGACTGGATGTGAAGGAGCTTGCTTCAAGTCTGGAGCTCAGTGTTATTTGCAGCTTGTGGCTACCCTTACCAAATGAGAAAAATATTCATCCAACAGACCAGAAAGCTTTGCTAGTGCAGTGATGACCATTACTATTCTGGTAGTCAACAAATGAGTTTTATTTTATTGCTGTGTTACTGCAACGTCATGTACCCTTTGGTTTCCACAAAAAGCTCCGGAGCCATCAATATAACAGCCCAAATCTTGTTTTGGGAACATACAGAGCTCAACACCTGTAGAGTAGCTATGGACCAGCTGTGAATTTCCAGCTACATAATATTTTGTGGTATTGTAAAAACAGTTGAAAGGGGGATAAAAAAAAAAAAATCACGTGCTACCA